GGGAATGGCTGAGCCATTACAAACATTGAATCTATCTCCCCTTGTAAGTATTCTCACACTTCTTATCAACCTGTCTGTAAGGTAAGACAACTCCCACCTGTTCATGCTCTCTGTATGTGTGTATATATATCTCCTCAATATATGTTCCATTCTATGCATCCAAAGAAGTGGGCTGTAGCCCACGAAAGCTTATGCTCTAATAAATTTGTTAGTCTCTAAGGTGCCACAAGTACTCCTGTTCTTTTTGCGGATACAGACTAACACGGCTGCTACTCTGAAACCTGTAATTGGAACTAGGTTTCTTGATCATCATTGTGAACCCTTCACCATTTGTATTTTGACATTCATCATTAATATTATCATGGCCATTAATAATTAGTTCCATACACAAACTTTCCTGCCATCACCTTGCAAGCTTGATACAGATTTCTCCAGTGGCTCAGCTACAGATCTGATAGAGTGGACCTGCATTATGTAGAGATATTTGGTTTGCTTTTAAATATTCACTGGATATTTTTAAACCACTTTAATGGTCTCTAACACTGTGGTTCTGTTCTGTTCTTTTGCAATGGAGGGAAGGCAAATGCAGAGGCTCAGTTCCACAGGCAGCAGAGTTTTGAAGCTGGAAGACATGAAGTCAGATTATTGAATGTCCTGTCTTATTTTTAGAAATTCTGGTACATTTCTAAAGGTTACACAGGAGAAACTTCAAAAGTAATAGGAAAAAATGAATCACAGATGGGACCAGAGTGAGCAAAAACAAAAAAACCCCCAAAAAATCTGAAAACACAACTCTTTACAAGATGTCTGACAACGTTGTATGCTCACATAACAACCTCCCCCATAAACAATCCTACTTCCTTCCCACTGAAGATTTTTTAAAATAATTTAGAAGTAGCACAAAGCTTATTCCTTATTTCAATGTCTGCCACAGCATTTAGCTGAATCTTTTTAAAGCAATACATTTATCATAAAACAAAATAATTAAGATTCTGAATTGTCACTTTTTCCACAGTGTCTTCTATTTTTACGGTACCGAATGTAAGATTACAACTAGAGGTTGGAGAAAGCATGAGAGTCTTTGGGAAAAACAATAGTTATGGCAAAGGTCTATCAAACAGCAAGCACTGAGGAGAATACTTAGACTCACTACGGAGAATGCAGGTAAGAATGCTTATCAGAAAGAATTTCTTTGAATACAGCATTGGATTAAATTGTGCTTTAGAGGTGCAAAAAAAAAACAACTTAAAAAATAAAAAAAGGAATTAAGTGCATGTGTGTAAATCTGAGCTTGGATTTTGCATGAGAGGGGCCTGGTCTACACTAGGGGGGGGAGGGATCAACCAAGGATACGCAACTTCAGCTACGAGAATAGCATAGCTGAAGTTGACGCATCTTAGTTCGACTTACCTCGCGTCCTCACGGCATGGGGTCGATTGCTGCGGCTCCCCTGTCGACTTTGCTTCCACCTCTCACCGAGCTGGAGTTCAGCAGTCGATGGGAGAGCGATTGGGGATCAATTTATCACGTCTACACTATATGCGATAAATCAATCCCCGATGGATCAATCACTACCCGCCGATCCGGTGGGTAGTGTAGACGTACCCTAAGATAGTTGTTAGTCCCAGACACAGTGAAGAGGTGGGCTGAAATATTGTGACTGACATGTTGGGAATGTTGCAGAAGCCAATAGGAAACTCCTTGCTGATATAGCCGACAGCGGTCATTACAAGCTGGTACCTAGAGGGAGTAACTGACTTCTGGTGAGGTATTGATGAAAGTAGGCATTGCATGTCGTTTTTGCTATTAGATATGGGTTGAGAGACTAGTGATGAGTTCAATAAGACTAAGAATCCTATCCAGAGTTTACCACCATGGCAAATGGAGGGCCAATGCCCTTGATGGAGGGAATGATCTTGGCTGGCTCCTATGAATAAATCTCCTTTTTTACCATTATCCCTTTGGTCTTGCATGGATTCAATTTGAGCCCACAGCTCTTCAATCATAAGATCTAAAACATATTTCAGTGTTGAAATGCTGCTTGTTATGGCATCAGACTTTCTAACAGCATTGTGGAGACCTGTATGTTTTTGGGCTGTAGGGGATGTCTGCCATGTTGTCAGAGTAGGTTAAAATAGGTGGATGCCTGTTATATATTTTGTATGGACCTACTAATTACTTTTTGTCTGTTTGCATTATTACTACATTATAGGCTTAGCAGGGCTTTCCTCCCTTTGACACACACTCTTTTAGACCACCAACATCCCCTTTTCCACTTGCACCTCCTAGGATGTCTTTTGTGCCTGTAATATCTAAATGCAGTTAGACATCTTTTTTTCATAGCGACATCTGGGATGTATCAGCAGGAGTGTTGTAAGCAAGACACGAGAAGTAATTCTTCCACTCTACTCCACACTGATAAGGCCTCAACTGGAGTAGTATGTCCAGTTCTGGGTGCCACATTTCAGGAAAGATATGGAGAAAGTCAGGAGGAGAGAAACAAAAATTATTAAAGGTCTAGAAAACATGAACTGTGAAGAAAGATTGGAAAAACTGGGTTTGTTTAGTCTGGAGAAGAGAAGACTAAGAGACATATAACAGTTTCCAAGGACATAAAAGATTGTTACAAGGAGGAGGGTGAAAAATTGTTCCCCTTAACCTCTGAGGATAGGGCAAGAAGCAATGGGGATTAAACTGCAGCAAGGGGAGGTTTAGGTGGACATCAGGAAAAACTTCCTAACTGACAGGGTGGCTAAGCACTGGAACAAATTGCCTAGGGAGATTGTGGAATCTTCATCTCTGGAGGTTTTTAAGAACAGGTTACACAAACGCCTGTCAGGGATGGTCTAGTTATTACTTAGTCCTGTCTTGAGTGCAGGGGACTGGACTAGATGAACTATTGAAGTCCCTTCTAGTCCTACAGTTCTTTGATTCTATTATCAGCACAATTTAGGCAACAATTACATTTATTTTCTTACTAATTTATGGAGCACCCAAAGCATATCTCATATTGGCCTTATGTCACTTCAAAATTTAGTCCATTGTTTAAAAGAATTGTCTTTTGAAAGAGGCATTACTCTTGCACTTTTCTGTTTGCAGGTTAAAATATATTTTACTGTTTAATATTGTTGACATCAATAAATTAGCAGGGAGCTACTGGGAAGTGAGGTAAACGGTAACGTTACTGTATCACCCACTATAAAATTAGCCCAATGTATATTATAATCTCATATTCATACTGTTAATATTCTTTGTGAAAAATAAACAAATCTTGTTAGCTATGTGTATATGTCGCATTATCAGATACACACCCCAAATAAATTCTAACTGCAGTCTCTACCATTATAAAATTATGTTCAATTCTATTTTGTAAAAACCTGTAATGTTAAGGCGGTGGTTTCCAGGGTAAACAGTGACTGTTGAAAACTGACGCGATCAGATTTCAGTTCTGGCAATCTGTCCCAGTTATTGCACATGCTCTTCTCCAACAAAGCATTTAAGACTTTCTAATGTCAGAAATGAGACCGCCTCAGAGCAGTCTGTTTACATCTTTATTGACAAGCTAAAGCCCTACTTTTTTCCTGGAGCTGTGCCCCAGCAGACATGTCTTCAGCCTTGCCTGTTTCAACATGATATATCACCCATCTAAAATAAATTTAGAATGTCCCCATCTGTGGTGAATACCTTTTGTTTGGAAGCTTATGTACAGAATCTCATTTCTGTTGCCTCCAAACAAGAATTTACACAGAATTCGCAATATAAGTTCATATGTGAAAGTAAGCTGTTAAAATAATGGGAAGAAGGAAATTTTGCTCATTCTTCAATACCTATATGAACAGAGTTAGGTGGTTTCTTTTTCCATACCAAAACAGATACAGTGGGCCAAATATAGCCCTAGAAAAAGAGCGAGCCTGTATGTGTGTGTGTGTGTGTGTATATATATATATATAATATGTGTGTGTATGTATGTATGTACGATGAGGTTGCTACTCACGAACAATATCTTACATATGTTCAGAACAGCATCTTTCATTCCATAGGATCCCAATGCACTTTCAAATTGATTATTATTTATTTGTATTGTAATAGCACTTGGGGGTCCTAATCATGGATCAGACCCCTGTTGCGCTAAGTGCTGTACAAACACAGAACAAAAGGATGGGCCCTTTCCCAGAGAGTTTACAATCTAAGTATAATACAAGGCACAACAGGTGAACACAGCCAACTGGGAGGAAGTGGTAACAAAGGCAAACTTGCCCTAATCCCTGGGCTATAGGGTAGGCTGGATGGGTATAAAAAGAAGTGACTCTCTAGACCAGTAATAGGGCCCTCAGTTGGGAGGACTGAGACCCAAGTTTATGGCCCTGTTCCAATGACTCTTGAACAATATCCCTGACATGTGCATATACATGATGGTTTTCAAAAGTCTGAGGTAGGTATGTACAAAAGACATGCACACTTTTGAAAATTTGGGTGTAAGTTAGTTTGCTGGCAGCACTGTGATCTCATGAATGAATCTGGAAATCTTAAAATTCAAATTCAGGTCTTCTGACACTGACCTGCTCTGTAATTCTGGGAAATGCATTTAACCTATTTGTGCCTTCAATTCTCCATCTCTAAAATGCAGATAATAGTACTAGCCTACCTTTTCCATAGGGCTCTTGCAAGAATTGAGTAGGCTAGTGTCTGTGCAGATGTCTGAAAATATAAAAGGGCTATGTAAGTAGTAGTATTAGGAGCACAGAGGAGTAGAAAGCAGCACTTTGAAAGAATAGTAAATGTCTCTCCTCGTCTCCAGATCTACTTTCTTCCATAGACCCTGGAGCAGAATTGGAAGTTTTCAGGGTATATAAACTGAGAAGGAGTGAAAGGGATTGAGATGTTTGAGAGATTTTTCTGCCACTAATGAAGCAAAATAAAAAGGAAATGAGAGCAAAGTAGACAGGAGTACAGATGCTTTTATGCTTATTCAGAGGTCTGTCTGTGTTTGCAGAGAGTCTGAAACAATCTCTGAGGTTTGAATTACCTTCTTTGTTTCTATGGGCACTGCCTTAGAAGCTAATGATGATCCTAAAATGTACAATATATAAAATATTTTTCTGCTCATCAACCATCTGAAAAGAAGAAATATTTTTAAATTGTTTGTCTCCCTAAAACTACTGAGTTATAACTAAGCAGGGTTGGTTCTGCCATTCAGCTGGATTTGTTACTGATGAATCTTGGCTTGTTTTCTTCTTTGAAGAGTGATAGAAAATGGCAAAGAAAAATGATGTAAAATTCCCCATAATGCACAAATACCCCTCAAACCAGGCCCAGAAGCTTGGTTGACCGACTTTGGGGGGGAGGGGGAGAATGTGTTCTCCTTCTCCTCAGTGATTACTCCCTTAGCTCCTCTCTGTACCCCTGCCTCCACAGTTACTCTTCCTCAGAAATCTCCTGCTAACCACACCTGAGAAATTAATGCAAGGAACAGAGGTGTTAGCAGGGGCTGGGAAGGGATTCGCAGCATCCCAGAGAGGCACTATTATCCTTGGAGTACAGCAGTGGTAATGCTGCCTGCCTGCTACATAGCTGCCAACCATCCCAAAACAATGGTGAGAGAGCAGTTTTTTAAAACTTAGGGTACCTCACCAGATATGAACTCTTGACATCTACAAATGTGATCTCCCTGTGGACTAAATTATGGCATTGCCATGAACCCAAAGCAGGGAGTGGCACGTTGTCCTGCTGCTCCTGGCGCGCACTGGACAGACCGCATACATCCCCTGGAACACCAGCACAGTAAATCATCAAAGACCAACTTGAAGATTGTTCACTAGTGAGGGGAAAATAGTAAATATCAAATAATGAGCTCCATATCAGTACTCCTGGAGAAATTCTGCGCCAAAAAAATTAAAAATTCTGTGCACAATATTTTTAAAAACTTCAAAATTCTGCATATTTTAATTGTCAAAATAACATAATATAATCATGTCAGTTTCAATTATTTTGGTAATTTATTTCAAAATACCTGTCAGCAAATATGTCTTTAACAATACAGACAACAAAAAAGATTCAGGAAATGTTTTTTGACCAATAGATTAAGCATATTAATGCAGAACTCTAAGAAATAAGTCATTTAAGCTACAATACAGAAATGTATTTCCCGCACCCCTCAGAGGCAG